GGCATGCCAAATTTCATGGGATGATGATGATGATGGAGACCACCTTTATGAGGCTGGATCTCCCTGGTGGAGATCATAACCCCGTTAGTAATCTCTTGACCTGTCCATGTCAAAACTCTTATCACATTAAGGAACATATACTGTAATGGTTCATTAAGACTTACACAACACTATGCCCATGGCCTAGAGAGAATGATGATCTACTTCAGCTAATGCTTAATCAATGTATTAGATGGGAATACATCTTCTGGAGTTTGGTTAGTTAGTGAGGGATGGGGGTTGGTTGGAGGGGGGACCGGAATTGCACCGGGGTGTGTTGGCATTGAGTCGGATCCGATTAGGATCGGCTCCTGGGCAATTTCTGGTCAAATATCTTTTTGCTGTTTCAGTTATTACATGATACGCACACATATATTCAATAATGAAAGAATTGTGCATGTATTTGCATTTAGATATACTTTATTTTTTTCTTAGGTATTAATCGTAGTATAAACTATCTTCCATAAATAAAAAATACCACGTACTTTGGAAATCATTTTTAATAATAACAAAAATGTAGACAAGTGTACAAATATGGGGTACTATTTCTAGATTTCTAGACAGAAGTTCTTCCAAAAAAATCTAGACAGAAGTTAAATCAAAATTGTGCATTAAAAATGATAGAGTATAGTACATGAATATCTAAATATAAGGAGTTTTCATGAAATAGGATTCCATATTTTATTTTTTTTAAATAAGAATAAATATTACTATCCCCGTCCCACTAAGATTGTCCCATTTTGTTCCGTCCCACTAAAATAGTCCCATATCTTATTTGGTAAGTTTGCGTGGCTCGAAATCATTCTTACTTTATCAATTCAATATCAATCACATAAATCACTTTTTATAGATTTGCGTGTCACTCCCTCTTGTCTCATTGTTAGTGGGACGGAGGGAGTACATATTTACTTTTAATATAATTAATTAATAGAATATTTTGCCCCCTAGTTCCCCATAAGGCCATAACCAATTCAGAGTTCAGACATCCCAGTGATGGCGGTAGTCTGAGGATGTTTTTACTTGAACTATTTGCAGTTCAGATCAGATCAAATTAAACTTGGATAGTAATAAAATACACAAAGATCAGACATTTATCATATCAGTTCAGATCAAACTAGATCAGACCAGACCAGATCAACAAATTTCAGTTCAAGTATAAACATCTGGCGGGCACTCTTGTGGCAGTGGACAGGTGTCACAACTCACAAGACAGGGGGTTTCGGCCACTAGCGGTAGTGGTCCGGTGGCTGGCCGACATCTTCTATTTTCAGAAATTTTCCAAATTATAATTATAAAATCATCAGCCATCTTGCTATTTTATATGGTTATTTTTTTAATATACGCATCTAATTAAAGTAAATGTCCTAATATGACCTATTTGAGTGAACTATCATACGTGCATGAGAAAGAAAATAGTATAATAGGTCACTTTAGTTTTTATTAACCAAAATGCATGTTAGAGGTGGACTGAACTGGGCCGGTTCGGGCCTCGGGCCTAGGCCCGGCCGGGCCTAGGCCCGGCCGGGCCTCGGTTCAGTAATAGCAGGCCCGAGCCCGAACCGGGGGTAGGGCGGTCCCGGGTCCGGTTCCGGGCCGGGCTGGGCCGGGCCGGTTCGGGCCACCCGTTTTTTTTTTTTTTTTTCCTTTCTTCCCCCCCCCCCCCACCCCCCCAAACCCCCCCAAACCGGCCTAAACAGATAGCCCAAGCCCAACAGCCCAAAAAAAATGAAAAAAATTAAAAAAAAAATAGATTTGGCCCGGGCCCGGGCCCGAACCGGCCGGGCCGGGCCGGGCCGTAAAACCCATGAACCGAGCCCGGAACCGCCCCACCCCTGGGCCTCCGGACCGAACCGGACCCGGACCCGGAAAACCGGACCCGGAAAACCGGACCAGGCCGGGCCCACACAGTAGCGGGTCGGGCCGGGCCCGGGCCGGGCGGCCCGAACCGAGGCCATGCCTGATGCATGTTAGTAATCACGACTTGTTAGGTTAGTAATATACTCCGTATTAAGATGTTAGTATTATATTCGTTAGGTGATACAAGTACTAACAAATATAATGCATTGTTAGTATTTAAAACAATTACTAACCTATCATATTAGGGCTTTCTTCCTCCGTCAAGATTGTTGTTCTCTGACTTTTCGGATGCAGAGACTACAAAAAAAATCACAATTGCAAATATTGCGGCGCCTTTTGATCTATTCGTGATTCCTTCTCACTTTGAGGTTTTTTTTAGTTGGAGAACATTTGAAAAAAAGGCAAGTTTTAGTAGGAAAGAGTTGTTTCTATGAAGTTTGAGAACAACATTTTGAGATAAAGGAATGAGGTGGCGCTCTCGATCGTGGGGATGAGTCGGCTTCGGTAGGGTTCTCATCAATTGGCCTAGTTTCATTCTTTGGTAGGGTTCTCATCCAATTTGTTTATGTTATGTTGTTGTTGTGTTTGTTTTATTTGTTCTTTTCCTAGTTTGGAGAGTTGCTTTGGTGTCCCAGCCAATTTCTTCTGGCCCAAGGTTTCTGACCGCATTCCTTAGAGTTGAGTAGAGAATGGTACAAACATAAATATTATTTGTTACTCCACCTGCTTCTACGTAGTTCTGGAATGAAATAGGAAGAACAATTTAGTTTTCACTCATATTGTACCAGCTCGTCCTCCTCCGAAACTACATCAACGTTTTAAAAAATTATTGATGCACCGGTATCTTAACTCGGTAGCCAATCAGATTCTATTCTGAAGCCTCGTTACATCCGAGTCATTAGTATAATAAATTTTATTATTTTCATCCTAGTCCTTGATAAATAACTGTAATATTTCAATGTTTGTTAACTGCTCGGTCAATTCCCTGCAATCTCTTTTCCTTCATGACGCTACATCAAACGGAACAAATGAAATCAGAAGCAAATCAAACAACCTATGTGACGCAATGGATGGCAGGCATTTTTAAAAATTGAAGGATTCCCGTTTCCTATTGGAACAAGAAAAACACTCCAAGTCCTCTTCACATGTCCAAAATCACTGGTAATGTGATTGGCCAAAATGTTAATGCACCGGTACGGTGGTACCTTCTGTATATTTTGAATGCACCGTAGAAGAACACTTTAATGACTTCATTAATAATCTCCACGTAAACAGCCACGTTAATAGAGGATTTGAGCTATTTTTGATAGTTTAGGGACTTGTTTGATCGAAGTTAAAATACAAGGTCTCAATTGATTTTTTGCAAATAGTAACCGGACCCATTAATTGGCATTTTTCCAATAAAAAAATAATTAAAAGTAAAAATAACTGGCAGGACCCAGTTTGGTATTACAGGTCCCGGTCACAGTACAACTTACTCCCTTTGTCTAATTGGATAATTGGATTTTGTCAAATTTCTCTTTTTGATTATCGCAAATATCTTTGTCATTTTCCTTTTTAAAATAATTAATTTGTAATTCTGTACATTTCTCTCTTCTCTGCATAAATATTAACCACACATTTTTAGCTGTATTTATTCTCACTCACTTTACACTTGACAAAGTCCATAATCGGTGGGTGTAGCTCAACTGGTAGCGAGATAGTGCCACAAGTAAGGATGGCAATGGGGGCGGGGACCCGTGGGGAACCGTCCCGCGGGGGAAGGATGGGGCGGGGCTTGGGGCGGGGTGGGGACGGGGATGGGTGAGGTATTTTTACGCCGTTAAAATATGGGGCGGGGGACGGGTATTGCTACACCCGCCCCATCCCCGCCCCGTCCCCGTTATAAATATAGTCACATATATAAATAATGTAAACACATATTAACAAACGTATAAATATACACATATATAAATAATGTACACACATATTAAATTAAATTATATGTAGTGTATAACAAACACATATACATATAGACATACATAATTGTATAAGGTTTAATCATGGTTAATGATTAATACATACGGAGTATTATACTAGAATAATAATAAACTAGTAATGATTGAAACTATTTATCATAAATGTTACACGAGTTTTAAGAGTGAGAAAGTGAGTCAATAAATACACACACATTTATATGTAATATAATATGCAATTAATTGTATAATAGTTGTTGAAAGTTTTGAAACAACGTACATGATGATAATATATTTATACTTTAATTATCTTCAATTCACAAAACTTATTCAAAAGGAAGAATTATTAAAATTGACGATATTAACTTTTAACAAACACAATACTTCAATGTTGCGTGTGTGTATCATATATTACTGTGCGCGCATAGATGTATATATGTTTAGGATCAAATGAGAACAACGCTTAACATGAGAACGTGCGAGCGCCACATTTATCCCCAAAGTGAATCACAAAAGCGCCACCATTATTATTTATATTAGTTTGTATTGAGCGAAGTCCAAATGTGCATTAGAATGGCTCTATTGTGTTTCACAGTGGATTAAATGTGCGTGCTTCCACATTAAACTTGGTTCTCATTGGAACCACACTACATATATTTATAATAAGAGATTAAAAGTATATGCAAATACGATAAATTAAATCTATATGGGGGCACCCGTGGGCACCCGTGGGGCACAACGGGGTGGGGTGGGGATGGGGCGGGTTTGGGAGTAACGGGGATGGGGCGGGGATGGGGGGAACTTTTTAGACATGGGGCGGGGGATGGGGGAGTGTACCCCCGCCCCAAACCCGCCCCATTGCCATCCCTAGCCACAAGGGTTAGATCTTGGGTTCGAATCTCGGCAACAGCGCTAAGAGGTTACTATGCTGAAAAATGCATAGGGCCTCTGTAAGTACTGGGGACGGAGCCCCACTCTCTATCTGTCAAGTTGTGATTATAGTCCAACTTACATCCTCTCATCGTGCTGTCCGGTCGGTGTTGGAGGGCTCTCAGGGGATGGGATGTCATCCTTTTTTTTTTTTGACAAAGCCCATAGTGACGGAGATAATATTTCATTTTAGGGAGAGAAACACTCATTTCAGGTGTTTTTAAATGATGATTTGGTGGCTTGATGTACGGTTTTGCTTAAGAGAGGCTACGTGCCTCTACTTGTCTGGGAGTATATTACTTTGCTTACAGAGTACTCCATAATACTTGTCCACTTTGTCTGAGCAATTTTCTGAACAATACATACCAGAAACTCACTCATCAAAGCTATGCCGCAACGAATTTTTGGTCTCTTCAAAAGCTTCCTCACGTCAATAATGGCTTCACCGAAAGTGGTCCACGATTTCTTCCCCTTTTTCCGCGTCTACGAGGACGGCCGCGTCAAAAGAGGAATCAACTACGTCTCCAAACCTCCATCCGACAACCCTGCAACCGGCGTCAGATCCAGAGACGTCGTCATCGTACCGGAACACAACGTCTGGGCTCGCCTCTACCTCCCCAAAATCACCGACGAGGGCCGAAAATTCCCCGTTCTCGTCTACATCCACGGCGGCGCGTTCTCCGTCGAGTCCGCCTCCTCCTCCACCTACGACAACTATCTCCACGCGTTGACGGCCAAGGCTAACGTCCTCACCGTTTCAGTCGATTACAGGTTGGCCCCGGAGCATAAGCTCCCCGCCTGTTACGACGATTCCTGGGCGGTTATTCAGTGGGTCGCGTCACACGCTCAGGAAACCGGACCTGGATCCGATCCGTGGCTGAAAAGTCACGCGGATCTCGCCCGGGTTTTCCTGGCGGGCGATAGCGCAGGGGCCAATATTGCTCACAACATGATGGTGAAAGCAGGTGGGAGTGGGTTGAAGCCGGCGGGAATGTTTCTGGCCCACCCGTATTTTGGAAACGGGAAGCTTGACAAGCTGTGGGAATACGTTAACCCGGAATCAAAGGGTCCGGATGACCCGATGTATAACCCAGCGGCTTCTCCGGAAATTCTCTCCGGGCTGGTGTGCTCGACAATCATGGTGATTATTTCGGAGATGGATTTCATCAGAGAAGGGGGGTTGAAATATTACGAGGCGCTGAAAAAGAGTGGGTGGGGAGGAAAATTGGAGCTCGTGGATGTGGAAGGCAAATTGCAAGTACACGTCTTCCATTTATTGAATCCGACCTGTCGGAAAGCGGGTTTACTCATGGACCGGGTCGTTTCATTCCTCAATAGCCTATGAATCCTAATGTTCTGGAAGTACACGTCTTCAGCTTTCATGATTTTCCATTTCGTCTCATATTCTTGCTTTTTGGGAATTTGGGGTTTTTATTATCATGTATAAAAATGTTTAATGATGTATTTGGTTTGGTGTCAAGGGATTGTTTATGGAAATAATGACTACAGTTTGGATTTTGAAGTGGAGCGGTATAAGTTTAATTTTCTAGTTTGTTCTATCTTTTTTAGTTTTTTTTTTTTTTTAGTTTTTACACTAAGATTTACCTTAATTCTTATACTGCCTTCGTTTTTAAATAAATGCAACATGTTGAATTTTACATTATTTACATTTTTTACTTTGATTGTGTTTTATTTATTAATGAATTAATAATTTTTTTGAAAAGTATTGTTAAACTTGTTTCTAATTTTCAAAATCTGATTTTTATTTTTATTTTTACTGATATAGAATTATACTCCGTATATATTAATAGTCAAAGTTAAAAATATTTTTACTAATTTTACCTAATTTTACTATATATATCAAACTTGCACCTATTTAAAAATAGAGGAAGTGGTAAATTTCATAATGTTAACATAATTTTATATCATTTTTTATTATCAATTTTAAACAACTTCTTTAGATTATCACATCACGTTCTGTTGTACCAATTAAATTCTCGTGTGATGTACGGATTTTTTTAGTATTATATTCAATCATCAGGTATATTACTAACAACTGCATTGTTAGTACTTAAAACAATTATTTTAAATACATAAATATTTTTAAGTACACTTCAATTGAGTAGCTTAAATATTTTTAAATACTGAAATACTTTAATACCTTTTTAATTCAGTTGTTTAAATATTTTTAACAATTACTTATTTACACACATAATTATATGTATAATTAGATGCAATACCCGTGCGATGCACGGTTACATCTAGAGCAGAATAACAACTTGTTTAAGATTAACTCTGAGTATGATGATATGTAATACAAAATTATTATACTCCGTATTACTCCCTCCGTTCTTTTTTATTAGTCCTTCTTTCCTTTTTGGGACGTTTTTTTTATTTGTCTCATTTCCCTTTAAAGAAAGTTTTTGAGAAAATACTCCTACTTTTATTACTTGTACTCCACTTACTTTTTACAGACTACTTTCTCTTTCCTACTTTACCATCACTTTACTCTTCTTAATACACTCTTTTTTCCTACTTTATCATCACTTTAGTCTTTTTAATATATCATCTCTCCTACTTTATCATTTACCCTACACACTCTATACTTACCCTACTACTTTATTATTAAATCTCGTGCCAAACCCTAAGGGGATCGATAAAAAAGAACGGAGGTAGTATAAATAAAAAATATAGTAAAGTTTACATGTTTTAACTTTGATTATATATTGGTGGGTTATGGGAAAAATGAAAATGTCGATTCGTAAGAAAAATTGCAAGTAAATTTAAAATAAAGGGTAAGGTGTACGAATAAGTACTACTTGATAATGTAATACCATGATTCCACAATTTAAACGTGTCCTTCGATGGTCCTAAGGAAGTTTTATAAAAATGAACTATCATATATGTTGGCACGACTGTACAAAAAGGATCATAGCTTTTAGAAAAGTACTTTATGGACCATATTGTCAATAATATTGATAGCTAGCACGGCTCTCTTAATCACGTATATGAATGTTCAACTCGCATCTTTAGGTGACATTTGACATGACAACATACAACTGACTCCCTATGATTACCCTTGGCATGACAACATAAAGTTTACTATGTGTAAAAACAAATTTTGGTAAATACATGCGGCTTGATGCAGAGATTGTAATTGGTTTATCTTTATTATTGTGGCAAATGAAATGATGATTAAGAATTGAATTCAGATTTGAAATGAATTATGATATTCAATGAGATTAATGATAACCTTGAAACTAAAAACCTTTTGCATGAGAATTTATCTAATGATAAATTATTAGATAAATTCATCGGAGAGAAGTCCACTTTATTATTCAAAAATCATGACATGGACGGGATTTGAGTCAAGTAAGGTTGTATTAGAAGTGCCATGTGTGTGTAACATGTGTTACTTAAAATGGCCATTAATTAAAAAAAAGGACAAAAGTATTGAATATTACCACTTACAGTTAGTAAGGTTGAAAAGGTTGATAAGCTTAAAATCGAGATTACCAAACATGTCCTAAGCTTATTAAATAAGTTAGGATGTTTTATTTTTAACTGAAATTTGCTTGTTTAGTCTGGTCTGATTTGTTTAAGTCTCGTTTGGTCATCGCTAGCACGACTCTCTTAACCAAAAAGGATCATAGCTTTTAGAAAAGTTCTTTATGGACCATATTATCAATAATATTGATAGCTAGCACGGCTCTCTTAATCACATATATGAATGTTCAACTCGCGTCTTTAGGTGACATTTGATATGACAACGTACAACTGACTCCCTAAGATAACTCTTGGCATGACAACATAAAATTTACTATGTGTAAAAACAAAATTTGGTAAATATATGCGGCTTAATGCAGAGATTGTAATTGGCTTATCTTTATTATTGTGGCAAATTAAAACCCACCATGGTCAGATTGTGTTTCGCTGAGGGCTGAGCCATTGGTGCGACCACGAGGATCTCGTCATCTTCCTCCAGATCCAACATTCCATAGGTGTTGGCTAGTGCGTCGACTCCATTGGTGTCGTTCTGCTCCATATCGTTCGCCTAGGTCACGAACTCCAGATTCGATCTCCAAAGCCGCCGTCCGATGCGCTATTGCCGTGCGAAGAGAAGAAAACGCGGACGATCGATAAATCGCCGCACCAACCCCCTAGGCACGAGGCCTCCTGTCCGCTTCTGTTGTTTTTAGTAGAAACCTAGTTTAAGTTGTTATACCATTGAATTGTAATTTCTTGATAATTTCAGACTATGTAACACTTTTAATAGGAATAGTTTTTTTACAATTGTACAAGTCTAAGGGCCTGTTTACTAACAAAAATATTTTCCAGTTTTCCAGAAAATTGGAAAACTGGAAAACAGAAAACAGGAAACGTGTTTACCATAGAAATTGCTGGAAAACTGGAGAAAGGAAAAAAGAAAAACACGTATACCAAATCGTTTTCCAAAACGAAAAAAATGAGACATGTCTCATTTTTCCTTAATGATTTGGAGAAGTGACTTTTACTAGTTTTCCAAATTTAGAAAACGCAGATGCTACAGTGTCGCTGCAATGAATTTGCATACTTACACCTAGTGGTGGGTCCGGTCCCGCTCCGATGTCGATTCCATTCCGGTACATCCATCCTCGTACCTTACTCCTTACCCCTACCCTACCCACCCAACCCCCTGGTCCCCGGCCCCACCCTAACGCCATCCTATCCCAACTCCTACCCCTACCTTACCCAACCCTACCCACTACCCCAACCCTACCCCACCCTTACCCCTAACCCACCCACTACCCCCACCCAACCCCCTACCCTTAGACCTTACCACCCCACCCCGACCATACCCCTTACCCCACCCACTACCCCGACACCTATGAGTAGGTATGAGTGGGTACGAAGGGTTGTGGGGAAAAATGGGTAGAGTGTAAGATCGTGGTAAGGGTGGGGGTAAGGGTCAAGAGTGTGGAATTGGAGAATTGAGTGAAAAAATTGGTGAACATGTTTTCAGATTTGAAAATGGAAAACTAAAAATAGAAACAGAAAATTGAAGATAGGAAAACTGAAAAATAAAAACAAAAAATTGGAGAACAAAAAACAGAGATAGAAAACCGGAAAATATCTCTGTTAGTAAACAGACCCTAAATGTTTCAAATAAATTTACATTTCATTTTAAATGTATACGGAGTATAATTTTTGTGGGTCTCACGAGTTTTTTGTTGGGAAAACTATCAAATAAGCCCCTGTACTATATCGAAAAAGTCGATTAGGCCCTCGCATTTTACAAACACTCAATCAAGTCCTTGGACTATTAAAAAACGTTCAATTAAGCCCTTTCGATCGGTAAGTAACCGGTTTCCCGGTTAAATGTAACCCGTTTCTCGGCAACCGCCGTTGCTGGGGTTCGAGCACATCGTCGCCGTCATCGCTCTTTAACCGGGAAACGAGTTACTTACCGACCAAAAGGGCTTAATTGAACGTTTTTTAATAGTTCGAGGACTTAATTGAGTGTTTGTAAAGTACGAGGACCTAATCGACTTTTTCGGCATAGTACGGGGGTTTATTTGATAGTTTTCCCTTTTTTGTTAAACTAGTTTTCCACCCGTGCGTTGCACGGGGTGTAAGATACAAATATTATAAATCTAAAAAAATCATTTTACCTCTAAATCAAATTAAAGATTGTATTATAATTTATCACGGGAATGAGAGTAAACATTATTAAATACATAAAAAAAAATATATGGAGTTTAATAAGCATACAATTTTACAAATTATTGAAGACTTCTTTGTAGACAACATTTTTTGCGGTCTTTTTTCGATTTCCCTCGTCGTCACATATCACGAACTTCAATCCAGACGGACTCGTCACCCTCGAAACTGCAACATATAACTGGCCATGTGTAAAAACTGGGCGTCGTAGAAAAACGCCCACATTCTCTAATGATTGTCCTTGGCTCTTGTTCATCGTCATTGCATAGCTAACCATCAAAGGGAATTGCCGACGCATGAATGTGAAAGGTAGCCTCACATCTGTCGGGGTTAGACTAATCCTTGGGATAAGGAATTTCTCACCTGCATTAGTTCCAGACATCATCTGTGCTTCAATAATATGTTCACCAAGTTTTGTCACTAAAAGTCGGGTACCATTACACAAGCCGGCCGAATGGTCTATATTCCTCATGAGCATCACCGGTACACCAACTTTTAGCTTCAACTCGTGACTTGGAACACCAGAACATTTTATGCCGTTAAGGAATTCGGGAGAATGAATCTCCTGAAGGAGCTCATTGTCTGAGGTTGAGGAACACGCTGAATCTGAACTGAAATATGTCTTTTCCTCTGAGCTGTTCTGCAACAACATGAAATCATTGACCTTGTCTACCTCATCAATTGTCGGTGCAAGAATTGCTCTCCCTTCAAGATATGAGATGTTGTTCATGTTCTTCAAAAAATCTGGATAAGTGGCGTTGACAATGGATTCAATGGGATCAGACATTACTGGAACATGAAAATTTTCCGGTATATCAATTTCTGAAAACTTAAAGATTATGATTAATTGGTTTTTGTATCTTTACGAAAACTTATAATCTGAATGTAGAAATTTACCATTCTTTACTATTTTGCATTAGAAAATGACTAATTTCTGGTTTATGACTACTTCTTTTGGCAATGGAACACAATGGAAGGAATGTACACAATGGGAACACAGATTCACTGAAAAAGGCAGATAAAATAAAATCAAAAGTAATAAAAAAATATGGCATTGGGTAGTTCATCACCTTTTCATCCATCAAAACTAATTCGCAAACGCGGGAACCCAAGCGCATGTTCTGATCCTTCACAGTCCACTTTCTCCTTACACGAAACAAAAAGGCCGAATTTCGTGGGAGTTTAAGAGTCACATCAGAAAGAAATTTCTGCTCAGGTGCCATTTTTTCTGCAATAGCATTCAAAGAAGAAGCAAAATTTGAACATATGAAATCATGAATACACTGGAGGTACTTTTAAAGCAAGATTTAAGTGTATATGTATGTTTTCAAATATTTTACTAATGGAAAGTATAAATCCGAAAAGAAATATAATAATAATAATGATATAATAATAATAATTATAATGATAATTATTATAATAATAATAATAACAACAACAACAACTAAACACATGTATCATATGATGCAAGTTCACGAAGGATTTTTAACAGAATGAAGGTAATTGATTTAATGGTGAAAGATGACTGAACTATGAAAGGTTAATGACACACCTGTTGAACCTCTTCCTTCAAACACTAAGATGCTCGAGTACTTTCACCGTTTATGGTATGTGCATGTATATATAATAGAAGGTCGTTTGTTCATTGATGTGTAAATATGTTTGGACCCTTAGATATGAATCTCAATGATTCATTCTGTAATTTAGAAGATGCGCATTTCCTTATTTAGTTAGGGTTCATACTGAAATTTGGAATTAAGTGCACGATTTTACATATGTATATATAGTAATCTTATAAGCTTCTTACCATTCATACAATTGGGACTCTTCTTAAATATAGTTACAAAATAACGCTCATTCATTGACTAAACAACGAGTTACTTACCGACCAAAAGGGCTTAATTGAACGTTTTTTAATAGTTCGAGGACTTAATTGAGTGTTTGTAAAGTACGAGGACCTAATCGACTTTTTCGGCATAGTACGGGGGTTTATTTGATAGTTTTCCCTTTTTTGTTAAATGATTTGGTGCTAGATGCCTAGACGTACGGTTGTGCTAAGGTGGCTACAATATGGGAGTATGTTACCCCGTACAATCTAACTTGAGGTACACATTTTCATAGACACACCTACACACTCAGATTTGTGAAGAGTATTTTTTTGTCTATATATAGACATAATGAATTCTCAAATACGTTATGTCTATATACAGACAAAAAGATACTTTTCACAAACATGAGTGTGTAGGTGTATATGAAAAATGTGTATGTTTTGTACCCCGTAATACTTTTCCACTTTGTCTGAGCCATTTTTTGAACAAACAAATACCTGAATCTCACTAATAAAAAGGTATCCTGCAACGACTTATTTGTCTCTTCAAAAGCTTCCTCAGATCAATAATGGCTTCAGCTACCTCACCCAAACTGGTCCACGATTTCTTCCCCTTTTTCCGCGTCTACGAGGACGGCCGCGTCGAAAGAGGATTCAACCTCGTCTCCAAACCTCCATCCGACAACCCAGACACCGGCGTTAGATCCAGAGACGTCGTCATCGTACCGGAGCTCAATGTCTGGGCTCGCCTTTACCTCCCCAAAATCACCGACGAGGACCGGAAATTCCCCGTCCTCGTCTACATCCACGGCGGCGCGTTCGCGATCGAGTCCGCCTCCTCCTCCACCTACGACAACTATCTCCACGCGTTGACGGCGAAAGCTAATGTCCTCACCGTTTCAATCGATTACAGATTGGCTCCAGAGCATAAGCTCCCCGCCTGTTACGACGATTCCTGGGCGGTTATTCAGTGGGTCGCGTCACACGCTCAGGAAACCGGACCCGGATCCGATCCGTGGCTGAAAAGTCACGCGGATCTCACCCGGGTTTTCCTGGCGGGCGACAGCGCAGGGGCCAATATTGCTCACAACATGATGGTGAAAGCGGGTGGGAGTGGGTTGAAGCCGGTGGGAATGATTCTGGCCCACCCGTATTTTGGAAACGGGACGCTTGACAAGCTGTGGGAGTGCGTTAACCCGGAATCGAAGGGTCCGGAGGACCCGATGCATAACCCGGGGGCTTCTCCGGAAATTCTTTCCGGGCTGGTGTGCTCGAAAATCATGGTGGTTACTTCAGAGAAGGATTTCATCAGAGAAGGGGGGTTGAAATATTACGAGGCGCTGAAGAAGAGCGGGTGGGGAGGCAAACTGGAGCTCGTGGATGTGGAAGGGGAAGCACACGTCTTCCATGTGTTGAACCCGACTTGTGAGAAAGCGGGTTTAGTGATGGACCCGGCCGTTTCATTCCTCAATAGCCTTTGAATAGATTCTAATGCTCTGTAATAAATGGATTGTGAGTAGTAAATCTACAAGCTTTCAAGCTTTTCCTTTAAGTCTGCTATTCTTGCTTTCTTGGAAATTTGGGATTTTTTATACTCCATATATATTACATGTAAAGATTTAGCATAAAAAATGGGCAAATTATACCGTACACCCGGATGTACGGTCCTCACCGTACATCCGGGTATTTTTGAAATTATTATGAACTTCTCTCAGTCCATCGTTCGCTGCGCTGCCCCTATTCCTTCTCCTAGGTCATCGCCGTTTCCGTCTGTCTGTGCCTATCGATTTTCGAGTGAGACGATTCTCATGAAATTTGTGATGGTGAAGAAGAAGAAGAAGTTGGCGTATCATCCTCTTGCCTGCGCTTCTTCTTTCTGCTCGAATGCCCCCCATGGTTCCGGAGATGTTTGTTGCTCGGTGCAGCGTTGGTCAATTGACTACTGGTGTGGGAACGTTTTTCTCTTTTGTCTTTCTTGTTCTTCTTTTCTTGCTTTTATGTTTTTCCTTCTTTAGTTCTTTCTTTTTCTTAATTTTTTTTAATCTTTATTCAATTATAAAATATTTTAGATATTAATATTTTGTTTTGCTATATCTCATTTTGTAATATACGTATGCTCATTTAATATTCGTTTTATACTCATTTTAAAATGTCATATCAATACACAAATGAATATTGAAGACATATTGAGCACAATAGAAATGAGTTTTATGTTAAATTCAAATGAGTGTAACGTCCAAAATGAATGAGCACACAAAAATGCGTTTTTAAATTTTTTGATACTCATTTCGTAAGTTATGTATGCTCATTTGGTAGTAATGGTATGCTCATTTTAAAATTCCATATCAATATTGCATATTTTAAAATTATTATACTACATTAAATTCGCATATTGTTTTAAATTGAAATCGATTATAGACATAATTTCAGAAATCTTTTTTAAACAAATAAAAAAATAACATTAGAAAATTTGAAGCAGATTTCACGATACTCATTTTAGGCTCCTAGCCTCCTATTACTCAAAACAATAGGCATGATGCTCACCAAACTTGCATTAATGCTCATTCCAGACAAATCGCGATTTTCATCTCAATAGCAGATGTTTGATGCTCAATCAAATGTCTTGATGCATATTCCAAAAGTTTAATATTAAATTAGATTCGTATATTGGAATTCGTAGGAATCTATTATAGATATAATTTTAAAAAATAATATAAAAGAAAAAATAAGAAAAAAAAGTGAAACAGCAGTTATGAAGAAGAATTTATGCTGCTCAACAATACTCAACATAATAGGTCTGTTGCTCAATAAAAGTTCATTAATGCTCATTTAACAGAAACCGTGAATTTCATCTCAATAGAGGATGTGTGATGCTCAATTAAAATCGTTATCTTGAACTCATTTAGTAAGTTATGTATGTCCATTTAGTACCTTTGTTATGCTGATTTTAAATAACAAAGCAACTAACAAATTCATTAATACTCATTTTGTATGTTACGTATGCTCATCTGGTAGAGATCTTATGCTCATTGTCTAAATGTCATATCGATGCATTTTTTAAAGTACTATTTTACATTAATTCACATATTGAAATTCACAGGAGTTGATTATAAATATATATAATTTAATAAGATTTTATAAAAGAAAAAATAACAAAAAGAAAGTGAATTAGAAGTTATGAACTGGAGATCACAATTCTCAATATTAGACTCCTAATACTCAACAGAATGGATATGATGCTCATTAAACGTTTATTATTGCTCATTCACTAGAAACCGTGAATTTCATCTCAATAGCGGATGTTTGATGCTCAAATATTAAATGTGAATATATAAAACGTGAAATGAGTATCGAAAAAGTTCAAAATGAGCATTACGCCAATATGCATGGATATGACATTTAAGTTGTCTCGTGTAATGCTCATTTTAAAATTTACGAAATGAGTATAGAAAAAATTTAAAAGCTCATTTAAAATCTCAAATACGCTTAAATATCAATTTGTGTATTCAGTATGCTCAACAGAATAGGTCTGGTGCTCACTAAAAGTTCATTATTACTCATTCTCCAGAAGTCGTGATTTTCATCTCACTAACACTATATAAAAAAAATTATAAACATATTTATATAAAGTAATAGTATGATTCATAGATCAAATAAATACTTCAAAAATATGAATTAGTCTTTTAATATAGTAATAATGAGCAAAAGCAAAACAATAGTTAATATTAGAATTACTATAATAATACGCAGTATGAAACTATATAGGATAAGTAAGATAAATGAACCAATTATTTCAACAAGATAAGTTAGTGAGATGGTTGGAAGGCCGGATATCCTACTTCGGGTTGTGGGATCAAATCCCGCTGGGGCTTTTAATTTTTTTTAAGCTGAGGCCGCGATTCGCTGGGAGCCCACCAATTAATAATTGGACCGGATGTACGTACACCCGGGTGTACTATATAGGCTCTCTAAAAAATGTACTCCATATAATGCAATTCTCGGCCAATGGATTGTGTAAGAGTTGGAAAATGGAAATAATGCATACCGTGTAAACTTTGAAGTGGATTACACGTAGGATATAGAACTTTGAACTTTGAGTACCATATAGTTTGTTCTTTTAATTATCTCATACTCAATATTTGGTAATGTTTACTCGTATGTGATTTTATACCAGAAATTTTAAATTTTAAGCAGCATGTCACGTGCATGTTATAGAGCACGTAACGGTGTTGAATTAAAAATAAAAGAATAGCAAGAGTTCCATCGGATTTAACAAATTCTGAAGCCAACCCAAATCTTTTTATACTTGACGACCGAAGCAGCGATCCACATCAACTTTAAGAGAGTGCGTTTCTATTGAGTATAAACCCTAGAGTCCTCCTTCATTGCCGTTAGATTTGTCTTAAAAGGTGATACTAAAGGTGTTGAAGCGAGTGTGGTTGTGTGCGGAGGAGATAAAGAGCGGTGGAAGTGGAAGAAGCCACCCAAAAAGAGGCGGTAACATTTTCTGGTGATTGATGTTCAATGTCTATGTTTTTACTTGGATTACACAATGAATTCCATATCCCCTGGATATGTTAAAGAAAAAGAAAGTCCATTCACTAAAGTTATTGGTGTTTATAGTCAACTTTCAGAAGCAGGTACCTCTCAGTTTCTAAAAAAATTGATTTTGAGAGTAAATTAGAGCTTCAGAAGTGCTTCTGGAATTTCACCCAAGCACTCACCCAAGTACTCCAGCTTCTGCTTTTGCTTCCCGAAGGAGCAAAATCAGTTTTGAGAATCAGATCCAAACACCCCCTATATCAGGCAAGGTATCTTGCCATATAGGTGATAGGGATGTTACAAGAAGATTAAGAGCCTGTTTCGTATAAGTCTGTTTTTCGGCTTTTCAGTCTTAACAACCAACTTTTTCACCAAATACATAACTTTTGATTTTGCGTACTGAATTGTTTAATAATTAAAATAAGTAAGGTTTAAGTTACTTTTATGACTTCATTGACTGAAGTTACCGTAGAATACTATTTAACTATTTTTCATCCATTTTTTTCTTTATTTTATTAAAAAAAATCCATGAATCAGCAGAATCATCAACATAGCCACTTCATGAGTCAGAACTTTTTCAACAGAATCAGCCAATTTTGATGTTACCAAACAGACTTTAAACCTACTTTTCCTAAGGATTTTTCAGAAATGTCAAGGAAGATGAGAACAAGACAGTTGAAGGCTAGTGATGTCAAACTGAAGGATACTGAGGAGTGAGGAGGGTATAAAGTTTTGTGAATTAAAATATGGGAGATATTGCTTATGGCGTCAAAATTATAGGGCAAATGTCAATTGATTTCATTGTGAGAATGATAGACATGCTCTATGTGGTTCGAACATATTATCCTAGCATTGCAATTTTGCAAACCTTCCAGTTCAAAATGAAGCAAAACATTCTGAACTTGGACTCTTGGAGTGTGTTCTTAGCAAAACAACTATTGATAAAGATCTTCCCACAGCGGTTTGAGTTTATTATCCTAGCATTTCATTGTTTATTTTTGTAGAAACAATAGGCTTAACCATAGCAAGGCCAACAGAGAAATCATACATTAATTTTCTGCAATGCTGCAAATCAAACGAAGCAGAGTTACACTCAAGGCTATCCTTTATAACTAAAGAGCAAATAATCCTTCTGAAATACTTGAGGAATTCGATTTAATGCTCAATTACTTTGATTTGTTGAACATGATAAAGCTGATAACAACAACTATGAGTACAATAAAATTCTGAAACAGTTCAGCTCATTAACCGCGCTTGCTGCCATGATTTGTATTTTGAAAAATTATACGAGTATGTTGTCCATAGAAAACGAGTTACAAGCATTAATGAGAGAAGAAACTCAAAAGGAACTAAAATAATACTACGATAGAAGATTTCAAAAGATCAGACAACTAAGAAGCACAAGAGCTCGTTAAGCGTGTTTGCTGCGGTGTCTGAATCATCCTCACAAAAGACTAGTTAAGTCACTTGGATTTTTAGAATCAAAGTAAACTCCTCTTCATCAGGAGGTGCACTTGTGTGCCTAATTTAGCAGAAATATTTTCTTTTTGAAAGGTCTTCTGCTTCATTTTTTTATTCTGAACATTTTGAATATCAATAGAGTGAGGACTCGAGCAAATCCACCTACGAGAGAAAATTCAAAGCTACCCTGTAACTTCTGGATTTCTTCATTTGAGACTGAAATGAAAGACTCGCTAGGAAGGTTATTGCCATCTTATAAGAATATCAATTTCAATTACATGTTTTTTAGGAAAACCATTCCAAAACATCCTTAATTGAATTTTTTTCATTTATTTTATTTACTTTATTCCCCAAATTGAAAACATATTAACAAATATTACGTAATAAGCTACTCATGACTCAAGAAATCAATAGATCTATTTAGTATTCTTTATTTATAATAAGATAAGATACTCACATTGTCCAACGGGTAGGCCCAAAATAGATCATTTTTTGAATAATGGAAAACCAAAAAACCAAGAAAATGGACCTCTTTTGGCCCTTTCTCCAAGAGAGCCGCAAAACATAACAGAGCTCTAGATTCAGTTATGCTGTGGCATGTTTCTTGTTGTTCTCCGGGGGGGGGGGGGGGGTGAGCAACTCTGT